AGTAGTAAGCATGTCATGGGCGTCAGAAGGCAGTATTTGCGTCGCCAAACCTCAAAACCACGCTTGACAATAAAAGGACTTACAAACACTTATCGGGACTTATAAGGCTTTACCAAAACTTATTAGAGCTTAATAGAGCTTAATAAGCTTTAATAAGGCCTAATCGTTTGGGGGGGCGCATGCCTGCCACAGCTCAGGCTTCAAGTTTAAATGCATATTGCCCAAAGATGTGGACGCCGCTTATTAGGCCCTAATAAGCCTTATTAATGCTTATCAAATCTTACTAAGCCGAATTAGCGGTATCCATCTGCGGGGGCACATTCTGGAGAGGCGCATAGTGGGCCCATGATCTCTCTCTCTCTCTCTCTCTCTCTCTCTCTCTATATATATATATGCCATGTTTGCACGCAACAAGCTTTAACGACGACAACGTCCATTTTGGCTCAAAGTGCCCAAAATTTTCAGACTTCAGACCAGCTAGAGCCTCTTGCCAGACGACATGTCGTGGGTGGATGCAGTCCGCCGTACGGAGCACAGTCTGGTAGCCGTGATCAGCCAAGATGCTGACATCACGGTGGAGGCGCTGGCAAGCCTCCCTGAGGACGCGCGAGGACGTTTGCAGACACTTTTGACTTTAGCAGACGAGCACAACCTTCAGTGCGTTCCAGGCCAAGTTTCAGTCGTGGACACAGGGCTTGGGGAGGCTCGCTTCTACCTCCTTGAGTCTGGAGAAGAGTCCCAGGCCGAGGACGATCCAGTCGTGCCCACAGTCTTGCAGCCAGCCGCTTGGTGCAGCCTCAGGTACTCACTCAGGACCAGCCTGCGGAGCCAGCCCAGCCGACAGCCGTGCCTCAGACAGATGTTCAGACTCAGGTGCCGCAGACAGATCCGCAGACGCAGCTAGGCCCCCTCAGCAAGGCTAAGACCAAGGGAGGCCAGCCAGCTGTACCAGTCAAGAGCCGCCCGCCAAGAGCGCGCAGCCAGCTTTGGCAGCTGGCTCTCAAGGCCCAACAGTCCCGGCGGCTAAGGACGTGCAGACCAAGGCCATGCCACAGCCCATGCAGCAGCCAAGTGCAGTCCCAGGACAGCCGCCTGCTAAGGCCACCCAGCCTAGGACAGCAACGCGGTACTCCTCAGGTGGGGCCAGTCTTGGGATACCTTCGTGCCCCGCCCCCAGCCAGACGCCCAGACGCTCAGCAGACTCAGGCGCCTTTTCAGCCAGATCCGATGATGCTGGCAGCCTTACCAAACCAGCTAGTCGGTTTCAGCCATGGCATTTGGTATGCCAAGATGAAAGGCAGGCGTGCTCCCCAAGGCGCCACCGTACAGTGGTGCCTTCGCACCCCTTTGCACCAACAAGGAGTGGCGTCTCCCCAAGACTCTTAGGCAGCACGGTCATGAAACCGAGGGATTTTGCTTGATGACGTGCCCAGCCTGCAACAGACGCGCGTGTAGTCGCGCTTTAGCCGTCTCCAGAGCCAACGGAGCCGACCACAACAACCACGAGTGCTGTGATTGTCACGTTCCAGGCAGGTTTTTTCCTCTTCAGTCGTTGTGTCAAACCTGGTCTCGCAGGCTCTTCCAGGCGTCGTGGCCCCTAGTCAGACCCAGCCAGGCCGGAAGAGAAACACGCATGCCCAGCCCTCGGTGCTCCTGATGCCAGGCACCTACCCCCCAGACAGCCAAGGGAAACACAGGACAGTACCTAGGCATGCTCTGCATCAGTCATGTTTATTCTTGTATCCTTGTGCCAGTCTGGACCTCAGCCTGTCTCAGTCGAGAGCCCACAAGTCACTCTGTTTAGCCAACACGTTTGTAAAATACCCGCTCTCAGACTGCAGCAGGCAAAATTTTTCACAAGTCCGCTACAGACCCTTAGTCGACAGCCCAGCCGTCCCAGCGTTTGTGGACCTTTCTGGCTGAAGACCGAGGACAGACGGCTTGAGCCAAAACAAAGGGTCTTAGCGGCGTGGTGCAGTCTCTGCTTGTGCAGCACGGTTGTGCGTTGATGTGCTTGTGCACGTGACTCGCTCAAGCCTCGCCGCCTGTTCCCCTTGGCTTGGGCCGGGCGGGTTGGGAGCCTTGTGGCCATCCCATCAGGCAGGCATTCTCCCACGGCAGCTTGAGCTGGCCTTTGCAGCCTGGCTTGTGCCAGGTCTCTCGCTGTCGTGAAACAGGCCAAAGAGTCCTAGCCTTGTGGCTTCAGCCAGCCTTTTGGCTCGGCAGGTCGACCCCCCCTCGTCACCTTCGTGACCACTAGGTGGGGTCGCTGCAGCAAGTCACAGGGTCAATCATGTACTGGCAGGTGCCCAGACCATGACGTCGGTCAGCGATTCTCAGGTCACATTCAGAGCGAAGGCCCTGCAGCATGGTGTCCCAGCCACCAGTCTGGATGCGTGGGTCACAGACGGAATACAGTCTTACTCTCAGCTTCTTTTCAGGGTAGCCAGCGCACCGAACCAGATAGATGCCGGCAAACTTAAGAAGTTGCTCGACTCCATGACTCCCCCAGCCACGGAGTCAGTCGCCTCAGCCGTCAACAGACTGCTCTTCGAGGCAGGGACCTTTGTAGTCGCAGAACTGCGAAGCAGCCTGGAGCAGCCGTCCTCCGAGCCAACCAGAAAGCTCTCCACTCAGGAGCGCAGCAGTCGTCAGCAGGCGTTGCAGACGAAATTAGGCAGCTTCAAGATAAGCGGACAGTACGAGCCCAGCCATCAACTAGTCGACGCCTTCAGCAGCATGCTGTCAGACCAATCTATACGCCATGTACCGCTCAATCGTTGCAGCTCTCGTGAGCAAGAAGTTTCCAACGTCAAGCGCGACGAACACTTGCTCCGCCTCGAGAACTCAGCCCTACGTCTAGCCACGAAGCCCCAGCCAATCAAGGTCGATCTTACGATCGAACTCAGAGTAGCCCAGGCCCTCAGTCGCAGGGGTTTAGCCATGGAGATGGCGGGGCTAGCTTCGAGACTCACGAAGCCTACGCAAGAGCCCTTCTCGAACACCTTCATAGACCGCCCCCGCCCAAATTTGACCCGCCAGGCATAGACGCCTTGCTCAGGGCAGACCGTGAGATGTGGATCCGAATCGCAGACGAAGTTGGCAGCGACTTTGTAGGCCCAGGCAAGGCAGGCGCAGTGGACAAAGCCATCAAGAAGTGGCAGAACAGCATGCAGGTAGCCTACTTTTTGGTGCCAGTCCCAAAGCCTGAGAAGCCCCCCCAGCGCCGACAAAGCGGCAATGGGACACAGCCTTCTCCACAGACAAGGGAGGCAAAGGCAAAGGCAAAAGGTTCATGCAACAGGCGTGGCAGGCAGGGAAGACAGGAAAAGGCAAAGCAGGCAAAAGCAAAGACAAGACGCAGACGTCTATGCCAGCTGCCTTAAAGGGCCTCGACCCCAACTACAAGGGTCACCCTGCCCCACGGCTGCAGCGAGGAGACGTGGCAGACAGACGCAGGCCTGACATGCAGACGAGGACTCCACATATGCATGAAGTGTCACGGTGAGCACTCCTACTCAGCCTGCGACAAGTGACTGTTGCAAGAAGCTCTTCCCACAGCTGAACCGAGCCCAGGTGCTGATGAATCGGAGCCGAAACAAGCTGATCCAGCCTCGCTTTTACCACAGGTTTCTTCAGAGCCGCGGGGGTCTTCTGGCCAAACAGAGGTCCAGCCTCAGTGTCCTAACACTGCAGCCGTAGCAGAGGCGTCAGTTCCTGCCACAGAACAGCAGGAGGACAGCAATAAGCCCCAAGTCCAGCACGGAACTCTCTTCTTGGAGCTCTTTGCAGGCGCTGCCAGAATGTCGCGAGCCTTTTCCAAGGTAGGCTTTCAGGTGCTAGCCGTG